AATCCCTATAGTCACGACAGTAGTCATAGGGTTAATTTAGGTAAGAGAATTATGTCACGACAGTGAATAGTTCTTATTCTTGTGATTCGTTGTGAAATTAATGAGAGTATAAAGTCACAAATCTATAGATTGAGTTAAACTGAGTAGTCGGTTGGTAAACCCTTTGCCTTAGGTTTTCTTTTATTTAATTAATTAGATTTAATTATTAGTTTTAGGTTTAGTTTAATTTAAAATCATTATTATTAGTTGTCTAAATAATAATAAGAAATAATTTTAACCTGGTACTTGGTATCCTCCTCTGTGGGATCGACCATATTTTTCGCTATATTAGTGTTAAGTAGGTAATTTTTTTTGACTAGTGGTGACGACGGCTTGTCAATTTGGCGCCGTTACCGGGGAAGGCACTAACTAATATCGAATCTAGATAATTTCTTTTATTAATTTAGATTTTGTATATATTTTTTATTTGTTTTATTAATTTTTATCTTTATTTTTATTTTTAATTTTATTCTCTTTTCTTTCTTCTGTCAATATTTTTGTAGGATTCTGGAATTATCATGGAGAATTTTAACTATGGATATGGAGATACTGTATTTTATGGTTATAATTCTGAATATGGAGGCTATCCTACATATCAAGAAGATCCGTACTCTTGGAGCAATTGTTCTTATGGTCCTTACTATGGTAGTGATTTTCAAAGATATTCATGTGATGCTGGATACAATTTTGGTTTTGAGAGTCCCATATGAGTTCTGATATGTTATCTCATTTGGAGAGAATCGAAAAATTGCTGATTGAAAACAATAAAAATAATGGTACCACTCAAATGCATCAGTCTATCAACCACCACCTTCTCAACCCACTCTTAGAGAGTTAGCAGCTCATCAACCTACTCTATGAGAGCTAGTAGCTTTACCGTCATCACCTTGTCAACCCACTTTGAGACAGTTAGGATCTACATATCAGCAGCACCTGCTCAACCCCAACTTAGTGTTAGAGAGGGAGCACTTCAAGAAATGCAAAGTGAAAAAGGCCAACAACTTATTAAAGAGGTCAACCAATATAGGTTGAGTGCAGGGTTGTCGGAACTTGATCCTATAGGATATTTGCTTAAATTGCGTAAGAATTAGAAGATTTCTGAACATGATTCTTTGGTCCAGTCTCCTCAGTCACCATCTCAAACTGAGCTTGAATGTGAAAAATTAAAAGAGACTGAAGGGTTTCAAAGTTCAGATATTCCAAGTTCTCCTGATTCTTCTGGAGTATATATTATAGTCAAGAATGATTCGCTCATTCTTAGAGTTGGTGACGAAGATGTGGATCAAGTTGATTTCACTGAGCATAACATTCCTATAGTTTCAAAAGAAGGGTTTAATGTAGCAAAATGTGGCGAGTTTGTCTCTGGTATAAGAGAAAGTGAGGATAATTCGATAGATAATTCATTGAAAGACCAAGAAGAGGATCAGTGGTACAAGATTGAATTTGAGAAAGAGTATGTTGTGGTCTTAGAGTACAAGTTCATATTTGCTCATGGCAAAGAGAGCCACTGTCAGAGATTCATCAGTGTTGTTGAACTTGGTTTCTTATGGTATCGGGATGGGTACTCTGATTGATCAACTACAGAGTCCGGCTAAAGACTTTAAAATAGCGCTTATTGGGAGGTAACCCAACATTTTGTTTTGTTTTCTTTTAGTTTATTTCATTTAATTTTGCAAATAAGTTGATTTGCAAAATTAAGGTTGTATCGTTCCTTTTAATCATTATATTTATGCCTTTTCTTTTCTTTTCACTTGGTTTCTTTGTCTTTTGTGTCTTATACATTGAGGGCAATGTATGCTTTAAGTGTGGGGGAGAGGAATTTGTGTTTGTGTTTATTTTCAGAAAAAATTGAAAAAAAAATTTAAAAAAAAATTTAAAAATTTGAAAAATCCAAAAAAGGCCTAGGATGAGTATATCTATAGCATGTAAGAATTAGATTATTTTGAATTGTACTGCTTAACTTATGTTTTTCCATATGTTGCTTTGAATACCCTGTTTTTTATGCACTTAGTTGTGACTGTGGCATAAACGGAAAGTAAGATATAGTTACATAAGTTTGATGTAGATATGCCATTAAATTTGTGTTTGATTCATCATACTCATATGATTTGTATGTGGAACCTATCATGTTGTAAAAGAAAAGTAAGGCATTAACCCAATATCAGCCTTAAAAAACCTTCTAGCTTTGACACTTTGTGTTGAGTAAGTTTGGGGAGGGGTGTTGGTGGATGCTTCCGAGGTTAGGTTAACTTTAATGAGGGAGAAAAGGAATAGCATTAAATGTTAGTGCTAGCCCATTGAGAGGTGAGGAATTGGCAACCATGAGTGGAGTGTCCTCAGGCCCAATGAGGAAAAATAGATATGTAGACTGCCCTAAGTTGCTGAGCCACTATGCAAAGGAGTGGAAAAATACTTTGGGTAGGGGCCTGAGTTGGAAAGAGTCCTGAAGAAAAGCCGCATGGACCGAAGAAAGGGTTACGAGGGGGAATAGGTTGTTTTCTACTCAAAAAATTTTTAAAAAATTTTAAAAATTTGAAAAATCCAAAAAAAGCCTAGGATGAGTATGGTTTAATTATCTATAGCATGTAAGAATTAGACTATTTTGAATTGTATTGCTTAACTTATGTTTTTCTATATGTTGCTGTGAATACCTTGTTTTTTTATGCACTTAGTTGTGACTGTGGGATAAACGTAAAGTAAGATATAGTTACATAAGTTTGATGAAGATATGCCATTAAATTTGTGTTTGATTCACTCATACTCATATGATTTGTATGTGGAACCCATCATGTTGTGAAGGAAAAGTAAGCCATTAACCCAATATCAGCCTTAAAAAACCTTCTTGCTTTGACATTTTCTGTTGAGTAAGTTTGGGGGAAGGGTGTTGGCGGATGCTTCCGAGGTTAGGTTAAATTTAATGAGGGAGAAAAGAAAGAGCATTCAATGTTAATGTTAGCCCATTTGGCAACCATGAGTGGAGAGTCCTCAGGCCTGGTGAGGAAAAATAGATATGTAGACTGCCCTAAGTTGCTGAGCCACTATGTAAAGGAGTGGAAAAATACTCTGGGTAGGGGCCTGAGTTGGAAAGAGACTTGAAGAAAAGCCGCATGGACCAAAGAAAGGATTACGAGGGGGAATAGGTTGTCTGTGAGATAAGTCCTTCTATTTCACTATATGTTTGGTGGTCCATTGCATTGAAATATGGTGTGAAATGTGAGTCTGTGGTTAAAGTAAAATGGCATATTTGTAGTAAAGATTATGTTTTCTATGTTGAATGTAAAGTGAAGTCCCTAAGAAACGAACCACACACACACAAGCGTGGGGGCTAAAAGTACATATGGTTTGTATATTGTTAAGTAGTGCATAGGAGAGGTAGTCGAGGTCTTTGTGTTATATGATGTCGAATCTCTGAGGCCGCCAAATTGAATAATTGAATGTTTTTGTTAATTTAATTCTTGGAAATGCTTGAGGACAAGCAATATTTCAAGTTTGGGTTTATTTGATGTGCATATAATTTATCTATTTTTAATACTTCTTTATGTGAGATTTTGCTAATATTTTGAGTACAGATATGTTATTTATGTGGTTTTATCTTTATTTGTAGGAATTGTACTCAAATGAAGAAATCGTTGAAGTTTTGGATTAAGATCAAGATAAAGAGCAACATATAGGAGCAAGATTGAAGATTTGAATAATTGATGAAGAAGAAAATCCAGTACAATATTCAAATCTATATGAAGATTGAATATTTTCTTCTTCATCAATTATTCAAATCTTCAATCTTGCTCCTATATGTTGCTCTTTATCTTGATTTTAATCCAAAACTTCAACAATTTCTCTATTTGTGTACAATTCCTGCAAATATTGATAAAACCACATAAATAGCATATCTATACTCAAAATATTAGCAAAATCTCACATAAAGAAGTATTAAAAAATAGATAAATTATATGCACATCAACAACCCTTCAAGCTCCTGAACTTTGGATTCAGCCTCTTTCAGATTATCAAAGACATTACCAAAAATACTTTCATTCCACTCTTTTAGACACATGTTCAACCGGCTCAACTTAATTGAAAAACCAAGCATACCGAAGACCTCAACAGGTTGCTGCCAATTTTCACGAACCACATTAATAAAATCATGCCTCCGAAGCCACATATTCTGAAAATGAAACAACCTAGGCTTGCTTTCACCTTGCGTAGCAAATAAGTGTAACATTGGACTATGATCAGAGGTTCTTCGATTTAGGTTTTCAACGGATGATACCGGGAATAGATCTTTCCACTCTTCCGTGAATAAAACCCTATCAAGTTTCTTGCTCACCCATCCCTTTTGTCTAGTTCCACCCCGTGTAAACTCCTCCCCCATAGCAGGGATCTCAAGCAAACCACATGACTCAGTACATTCATTGAAATCTCCAATTGCCACATGACCTTGTACCGAATTGCCAGAATACTCATCTAGTGAATGGATCACATTAAAGTTGCCACCTATCATCCATGGAGCTGCCGGATAACTCAATCTGAAGTTCTCCATATTCCTCCACAAGGGCAATCTAGTTGACTTGGTGGATTTGGCATATACCACAGAGAGAAAGAAGCACGTAGGGATCAACACATGCGAGAGCTCAAAGTGCAAGACCTGACCATCAGCTTCTAGCAAAGACCTGACCAAATTTTATTGGAATGAGAGGCAAAAGCAACATCAAAATTCAACTCCCTTCTTATTTCCTCCAAACTGTTATTTCGAACTATTGGCTCCAACACTATTAATACAGTTACATTATGCATTCTGATTAAAGATCTCAAACGCCTTTGAGACGCTTGGTTTTTAATACCTCTAATATTCCAGATGATTTTTCTAATCATTGGATAACTAAGAGGGAAGATGATCAGTCTAGGCAAGAGGAACGCCGTGGAACAACATCCAACAGCAGTTTCGCCTTTTCTTCTTTCGGCTAGCGCCCTCTTTTCTTAGGAACCACAGCTCCCCCATGCATAGTATCCTGACCTTCGAGATCAAATTTGTCCCCTTCAGACCATCGTTCCTCATCACTGTGGATATACTCATCATCGCTGCCATCAATCAGACTTTGAGTTCTAATATTGTAGTCATCGGAATGCATTACAACCACTGAGTTAAGCTGGGGTGCAAATGCCAGGGCTAGGGTTTCGTTTTTTCCAGAAACAACAATAGAATTGTTCTCATGCTGCAACTTCTCCACAAACACATTCTCAACATCCTCCTCATCTGAAGCATTTTTGTTTTCCAATTCAGCAACATCCGAAAGAACAGAAAATTGATTTTCAGTAGGAGAGATCTCAACTTGTGGAACTTCAATCTTTGGTCGCAGTCGGACTTTGAATCTGAATTCCCACTTCCTCAACTGCACCTTGTGGAGATGGAGTATCTGGAATATCCACTGGGATCACATTCTTCTCTTTCGCAGAAAGACCCGAAGTCGACTCTACTGGATTGAACACTGGACGCAAAATTGAAACCGCCGCAACGCTAGGGTTTCCGCTCGGGGTGCGATTAGGGTTTCTACAAGGGAGCGATCTTCTTCTTCATGCGCTTCTTTTGAACCCGCCTCCACAACATTAACAATTAGTGGCTGGGTGCTTACGATCTCTACTTCAACATCAGTTTTCTCTTGGGGCTGTTTTGATCCCAAAGTCACTTTTTGTTTAGGCATTTTAATACCTTTCTTCTTCACAACTTGATCTGACTTTTTGTCCGCAACAACATTTTGCTGAAATGGCTTTCCAATTCGGCAATCACTCTCCTTCTGCCCAAGTTTACAGCTCTTTGGGCAGTATGAGGCGACATGTTCGTCAGTGAAAATTTGCTCGTGCTTACGGCCTCTTTTTCCAATTTTCAACGATTTTGGTAATTCTTTCAGGAGATCAACTTCAACACAAAATCTTGCCACTGACGGTCTTGTCATGTTCAAAATGGGTGTGTCAACCTTTAAGGGTTGCCCTATAGCTGTAGCCATTGAGAAGATGACTTCCGGATGCATGTACTCAACCGGTAAGTTATAGAGAGACACCCAAATTGGGACTACTGGCGGATCTTCTTCAAAACGGAATCTCGGTTTCCATTTTAAAATTGGCATTGTGTAGCCCATGATGTTCCAAAATGTCTGAATCCAACATCTTTGATAATCCTCTTCATCCTCGAAGCGAATCAAGACATGTCTCGGATTCATTAGACCCAGAGCATAGACACCATTGATCCTATCTTCTTGAATTCCTTATGAACCTCCTTCATTTTAGGGTGACCATACAAAAATTTCCCCACTAAACTCAATCGGTGAGGAGCAACAAAGTTTTCAAAATCTTCATCTTCATACTCCAAGGTAGGCGTACCATTGATGAATTTGATTGGCTTGATAAGAGAATTTTTGTTAGCCTCCGATTCAGAAGCTTTTTGGAAGAAGCTGGCAAAAGATTTGGGTGGCTTTTGGGTGGCCACAGGCGGCTGTTTGCCGGCCATGATGGCCGACAGGGAGACGTGAAGTCGCCTCCTCTAGGGTTTGGCTAGAGAGAATAAGGCAAAGTTAAAGACTTCTTTTCACACTTTTTCAGTAACATACGCTTATCTTATAATTAATTATTATAATCGTCCTCACCACATAATTTATCTCCTAATCTAATCCATTGCTCCTACCCTAAGCCCCTTCCTTTTCTTCCTCCTTCTTCCTCCTTTACTTGATTTCCGCCACTGCATCACCACCACCCCATTCCTCTTCTCCCTTAAAAATTACCATCACCACTTCCTAAATCTATGAGGATTTCAAACTATCACTACAAACATAAAAATTTATCTCCACTAACAGCACACAATTCTCCCTCCATCACTACCAGCATTTCCGTCACCGCCACTTTTCTTCAATTCCACAAAAGTTACAAAATACTTTGCTTATTTTTCCTATTTTCTTCCTTCTTCTTTCTAAAAGAAGTAAGGCCCTCCCTCTGCCTGCACCATTTACCCCTTGCGCACTTTTTCTCCATGGCAGCCGAAAAAGAAATCGTTGCAGAGATATGCTTATCTTTTTTAGTGGGTTGTAATAAAAATCTCTTTTGATCGTTCCATTTTTCAAAAGTTTTTTATGCCAAAAATATCCTTTCACATTTTATTGGTGTTTATTTAGAGGGTAGTCTCATTTCACTTATTAAAGACATTTTTCATCCATTAAACTCAGTTAACTACTACCTTTAAATTCAAGGACTATCATTTATATCAATGTACTATGCAGAACAAGGAAAACAAATGCACCTACAAGGAAAACAAATGCACCTACAAGGCCGTTAAGGCGGCCAAAGGTGATGATAGTGGTGTTGGCGGCTGGAGACGATGGTAGATACCCACTTTTATTGTGCATTTTTTTTAAGAAAATAACAAAATAATAAAGATAATGAACAAACAAAATTGATGCTAGATAACAGAATCTCTCAAAATTAATAGAATCTTTGGAGTTAATGACGACATTTTCTGAGTCATTTGGTTGAGTATAGTAATTTTTAATGGAATTAATTTTTTTTACAGTCACTAAAATAAATTACATCATACATTACATATGGTATCTAATTTCTGACATTAATTCTAAGTTAAAATAAAATAAAGTTAGCCTTTTGGAATACAATTTTGAAAAAAAAACGATGTACATTAATCCAATATACAAAGAATTTAAGAAACATAAATGCAATGCATAATCTAATATAGAGAGTATAAATGAAAAAGGGAAGAAAAAACTTTTACGGGTATATTTTAGAAGAACTAAAATTATTGGGGTTAAAATGTCAAAAAAAAAATTTAAACAAAGTAAGGGAATGTCAGTGGAAGTGTTAAATCTACCAGGATTTTTGTCAATTGGATTAAATTGGCGAGAAATTGAAACTTACATGATGAATTTGGCTTCCCATAAATCTTTTGGGTCAAATTGGCCAGACACTTGAAGTTTCGGGCAAAATTAACCATTTTTTCTAACTTTTTTTGTTTAATCAGGTAGGTTTAGGTATATTTACTTATGATACACCCTCATTTTAATCCAACTGTACTAAACTATAGCAATCTTTCTTATTCCCTTTTTTTCCTTAAAAAATTTCCTTTTGATGGCAATTTTTCGATTCTCTAATCCAGTTGTTGGAAAAATTGCAATAAAATGGAGATCCCTGCATTCAAAGCTAGAAAATTAAGGGAGGAAAAGGGACTGAAAAAAACAACAAATTTTGTCTGGGCACATCCACCTTTGGAGTTTGTCGAAACTTGAAAAAGGTTGAAGCAGAGCCATGAGTTTCTGCTCGATCAAGTATTTTTCTTTTTTTCGCATGTTAGACAGTTGCAGGGAAAAAGTCAGAGAAGGTAAGTATATTCAGGTTAGGGATATGACTTGTTTGGCCAGTATGCTTGTTTTGCTCCTTAAGACCCATTCAATCAAATCTGGTGTTGTCCTCGAAATTCGTTTTGTGAAAAGTGAAAAAATAAAATTTTGAATTTTGAACCTTTCTTTAAATTTTTTAATGTTCCTATTAATTTTAATTTTTTTAATATTTTCATAATTAAATAATAATTTTGAATTATTTTATTATTAATATAATACGCATTTTTTTCTTTTATATATGGTGTTCTGAAAATACTCCTGGTCTGGTTGGGACAACTATCATCGTGACGGAACTCGGGACGTAATAGTAAAAAGGGACTAAAATAGTTTCAAACTGAAACGTAAAGGCTCACTCCATATAAAATTATACATGTTGATATAGGGACCAAAATTCAAATTCAACCAAATATAAGTGACTATTTATGCAGTTTAGTCTAAAAAAAATTTAAACATACGTCCTTTATATTTTATATCGAAAAGTATAAACTTTTGATCATAAGACTACAAATCTTTACGTTAAAATATATCAATTTTCATGAAAAAAAAACTACAATTTTCATATTCTAAAATATTAGTTTCACAATTAGGCACGTCAATCTCTATGATGAAAATTTTCTAGAATTATATTCCATAACTCCAATTCTTTTATAAGAATTATTCATTTTTAATGGCAAAAATTCTCAATCTTTATACTTAAAATTATAAATTTCATAAAATCGTTCAGAACTAGCCCTAACATGCTTGGGAAACATAACTATCTTTCACGATTGAAAAATAATATAGAAGCTGTTCACACATGAGCCTTATCAAAAAATAATGCTTGTTCATCAGTGGGAGCTCGGTATTTGTAACTGGGGATAAATATAGGTAGGAATTAGTTAAGTGTCTTATCAAACGATAACAAAGAAGGGAATAATGGCGGATAATCCCAATGTTTACCCTCTATTAGTCAATTAATCACAAACTTTTAAAATTGAGTAATTATATCCCAATATTTTTAAAATTGAGTATAATCGTCCCATTTGAGTTCCTCTGATCTTTCAAGTCTTTAAACCATTCTGAATAATCTATGAGTTTGAAGCAACCACTTTTCAGATGACCAGTCATACCACAATGTTCACATTTCAACAACTTCTTGGCAGCCTTGTCAAGCCTCATCTCATTTTCCTTTCCAATGTTGTTATAGCTATTCCTTGGAACAAAACTGTTGCCTGTATTGTTGCCTGCATTGTTGTACTTCCCTTTTGAAGTTGAAGTAGCATTATAAGTCGACTTTTGGACCAGCATTGCACTCTGTGCAGAGCTGCTATCAAGATCTATATGCAACTGTTGTTGCTTCTCAACATTCATCACTATCGCATATGCTCTCTTTACATCAGGCAGTGGTTTTGTTGCAAGAATTTGATTCTTTATTGGCAAATAAGCATCATTAAGGCCTGTCAGAAATTGCATAAGCTTGTCCCTAGCTTCTGTCCCACCATTTTGTCGATTATGCTTGTAGGTGCAACCATGACAAATACAGACGTCTGGTGGATCAATGCTACTCAATTCATCCCAGAGTTTCTTCAATTTTGTGTATCAAGCAGACAGATGTAAATTTCCTTGTGTAAACCTTCCAATCTCTCGCTTTAGCTGATAGATCTGTGGTGCATTGCTTGTACAAAAACTATCTTTCAAATCTTGCCACAATTCCTTTGCATCTTCTGCCATGTTAAATCCTTCAAGAAGATCACTAGAAATTGAGTTTAATATCCATGACACTGTAGTGTCATTAACTCTGCACCATTGCTCATACTCTAGACTTCCTTCTGACGGTTTTTCCACAGTTCCATAATACAACCAAGCTTGTTCTTCGAGCTTAGAGCTCGCCTCATCGAGTGACTCCATGTCATGTAATTGCTTGACGTCAATTGACAATTGATAATCGTCAAACTCAAACTGTCGGACGGCCATAAGGTCAATGGATGCATGTAACCACCAAAATTCATGGCAGAATTTTCTCTCCGAGATTCATTGAAGCTTTCATCATGATGTCCTGCATTCCTTTGATCAGTTCGATTTCCATCAGTCCTAACCGTGAGAAAAGATATCCTCTTTTGTTGTTCCCCTGAATTCTGTATGATGTTTTCTTGTTATTCAGGCATTGGTGCCCACATCTTCTTGGAGTATAGATGGTAGAGTTTTCAGGAAAATGGACTGCTTATAATCATACCTTGATCAGTATTGTACTTTCGGAAGATGCTTGCTTCCTCTAATTGTGACACCTTTAATTTACAAACCTATTTTTAGTTATCCATTTCCTCGATATCACGGAAGGTTAATCTGTCATACTTCTTCTAGCTAGGTTAGTACATTTGTTGCTGCTTTAATCTGGAAGACGCGGAATTATGATGCGAGCGATATGGTCATTGTTGGAAAACTTTACATTAGTTTTCATTGTTTTAGTTTTGGTCATGTTTCTGCTGCTGTATTCGGATGGTGATCATCTATCGTCTTTTGTTTTGTTTTTTTTCTTTTTTTTTTGTGTGTTTTTTTTTTCTTTTTTGGTTTTCTAAGAAATTTATCGTTTCCTAGTTTCAGTTCTCCACTGAATGAGATCATCTAAGAAACATTTGGTATGTCGTTTGACCGTGGCAACGCCGTTACGGGATTGGTCTTGTTCTTATTCAATTGTTCTGTAATGATGTAGTCCAAATTTTCCACTACGATGTCCAATCAATTTGGTCTATTTTCTTCTCTGTTTTTCCGAAAAGAACGGCAAGTTCAAGCCAAATGGTATCCAAACTATTGAATTGGTGTATATTGGTAGATGACTTTGAGGATAAATTAACTTTACATTCTCTATAAAAAGCAAACTCCTGACACTGGACATGTAACATACGTACAAAAAAAAAAAAACTAATCCCTCCGTCCCACAAAAATAGTGCAGTTTCAAAATGTACAACTCTTTTAATTTAGTCAAACCCAACAAGGTACAACTCATTTTATTTTTGTAATTTTCAATTTTATCCCTAATTGGATTAACATAATCGGCTGCAACTGAAAATGAGAAACCGGTGGATAGTTTGGAATATCGGCGATGGAAGTTCGAACGGAGGGCTACTTCCTTTTTCTCTTTCTCAAAAAAATTCATGCCCAAATTTGTATAAACCCCCTTCATTCCCTTGTGGAACTCTCGTGAAAAATTTCAATTATAAATCAGAAGCAAGAAATCCTTTCTATCACCAGAGTATTTTATTTTAAAATTAGTTCTCTCTTCCACCGGAGACAGAAGTAATGGTTCGATATTCCGCCGGAGTATCCTTGCTCCTCGTTCAACTTTCGATCGTCATTGTATCTGGAGCTCGTGATGTCTATCTAAAGTTATCGCCGGAAGTTTCCTAATTCTTTCGTCCTAAGGAGACGGGCGATGGCGATGACTCCGCTGGAACTGGATCTCGCCGGAATTATCGGCAACAAGTGATCATCCTTTCGATCTTATCCTATGAATTTCCTTCTCCCTTCTTTTCTTAGCGATCAGGTTACAAATTTTATTTGATTTATTTTTGCTGTATTGAACCATTTCATCGCCGGAGACAAATCGCCGTCATTAAAAGTTTGGTACCGACCTGTTGAATCTATTTATTAGAAAGGATAGTATAGTCATTTTATATGTTTTAATTTTGCCTTTTTAGAAATTGGACTATCTTTTTGGGACAAAATATTTTATCAAACTGGATTATTTTTGTAGGACGGAGGGAGTATATATGGTTTCACTAACTATCGGATGACTACCAATTAATTATATACACAAATACAAATAGTGAATTATTAAATGTAACTTAATTTTACTTTGTGCAACTTGTAAAATAGATTAAAATATCCCTGAACTCTAAACCTTCTCAAATTCTTTTATATGATCATTTCTTTTTACAACTTCACACATATATTGTTTCATTATATAGTAAAACATTCACTAATCATTGATGGTTTGCAATGGCGATGAATCAAAAAACACACGAAAGCGGAGTGATGTAATTTTCAAATAAATTTTATCATTTTTTTTCCATTCTTATGTGATCGGACGGCTTTGAGTTTATGGATTTTTGGGAGGGATTTTTTCTTCTTTTGGTTTTTGTTTTCTATTTTTATTTTTATTTTTTATTTTTTATTTTTTATTTTTTTTGCGAAATGTTATGGACTAAAATTTCTGGCTTTGGTATAATCAGTGACCAGTGATTTTTTTTTTTTCACGAAATAGGTGATTTTTTTTCTTTTGGTGTAATTTTTTTTTTCATTTTCTGTTGTGATTGCGTGCATTTTTTTTTTGTGTGATCATTTTACAAATATTTATTGAAATTGGATTTTGCAATTGAAAGGATTTTGTCCATCTCAAACACATTGAAAGAAAGAGAAAAATGATTATTGTTAAACGTAGCTTGATTTTATTTCGCACAGTTTGATTTTACTTCGTTCAACTTGCACTAGATATTTTAGTCTATTTTATAAGATGCGCGAAGTAAAATCAATCTGCATTTAGCAACACCCTATAAATAGCTAGTGTAACTTGGCCAGTTCATCCAAGTTTTTTTGGTTGATAGAAAATATAACACGTGGTATCAATATTTAAGTGGAGAAATAATCTAAGAGAATAAATAACCTCAAGAACCCACAATTTATCAGAAAATCATATGCAATTATTTTTGCAGGCTAGAAGCAGAGCTCCTGGTTATCTTGTAGTCCTTATTAGCTTAGTACAAATGTGATCCGATACATATAAAATGCATCTTTATTTAATCTGAAGCTAATTAACTCAGAAATTGATTGGGTACTTCTTTTGTCCATTTGCCAGGAAGACACCAAAATGCTTCTCATACTCAGGGCTCTTCTGATCTTCATCAAAGAAATCAAAAATATAAGTTTCAATGGATCTTCCTGGCCTCTTAGGAGTCCCCGAATTCCCATTAACATGCCTGATCAAATTGTTGTTGTAAGTCCTGGCATTGTCCACTGTTGTCGCCTGACCTCCGGCAGACGGCCAGCCACTCTCCGATACAACAATTTGCACGGATGATCCTCCGGCTTTCTCGAGCGCGGAGTACGTCGCGTCCACCAGGGCGTCGAAAAGGCTCGAATAAGGGCCATCAGGCGTTGTGACGCCGGAATTAAACAGAGCATAGTCAAGACTAATGCTGCCGGGATTGTTAATGTATGCGAAGTACGGATACACGTTCACGAGCAATGGCGCGCCATTGGACGCGAGGAATTGAACGATCGGATTGATGAACGATTGGACCTGTGGCGAAAAGGTGCCCGCGGATGGAGGATATCCGTTTACAACGAGCCCTGTTTCGATGGCAGTGGAGACTTTGATCTGGTTCCCGAGCCCAGCTGAGGAGATGGCGTTGAAGATGTTTCGCATCGCGGGGAGGACGAAATCTTTGTACTGAGATGTTCCGGTGATCGGACTAACTTCGTTACCGACCGCAATGTACCTGAACCGGACATTCGGGTAGTTTCTAACGTTGTTTTGGACCCAGTTATTGGCGTTGGCTTGGTTTGCTGCGACATTCTGGAGATCGGTGTTGGGGACTCCTAGGATGACTCCAATGTTTGAGCCTCCAAGGGCTTGAAGAACTTCCCGGTTCGGGTCGTAGATTCGCATTCTTCGGATGTTGTTTTGGTTGCAGATGGACACAGCTGTTGCTGGAGATGGAACATTCCCAAGTCTTCCATAGCATACTCCAGTTTGAGCTCCTGCAAATAAAAAGTAACCCAACATGTTATGTAAGACTCTAGAGTATGTATGTACTTAAGAGTAAAGTTTGAATTGAACATAGGATCGAGCAATAGCGTAACAGTAATACTATAGTCCGATATTATATCATAGATCGAGAGTTCAAAACTCAATGAGAGGGCCATAAACTAACATAAACTAACATGTATGCATGATGGGGCCATTTTCAGAAGAAAGGGGAAAGGGAAAATGTGTAAATCAAGAGAAGTTAGACCTGTGAGTTCAAGGGTAGCAATGATCAGCAGGCCAAGTAGAGCTGAAGAAGCTATTAATTGCTTGTTTGAAGTAACCATTGTTTTTTTATATATATAAAATGGAGGGAAATCTTTATCAGTAATCTTGAACTAGTTGATGTTTCTATATCTAAGATTGGCTCCCTAATTTATAGAAAAATGGAGATGGAAAAATTGGTTGAAAAGTAAGGGAGTTAGGCTTTAGAATTAATCAATGATACTCAGAGGTCAATTTACTCTTGTGGAAAAGCTAGTATAAAACAGCCAAGATTTTCTCGATGGCTAATTTCTTTTTGGGTCATTAGCATGTGTTAAAATTTCAATTAGATTTTGAGTTTCCTTGTCCTCCATATGACAATGACAATCTAGTTTTCTAGCTGCCTTAGAACTAGACCCTCACGAAATTACCGTTGGAAAATTCAACCGGTTTAATAAAGAAACAACAATTTATGTTACCAAAAGAATCATTTAACGGAAGATTTTATCCACGAGTTCTTTGGAAAAATCAAATGTAAATCTAATGAAAACAAAATAAAGGCCTTTCAAAATAAACATTTATGTACGTAGAATGATATTATCTCTGTCACATATTAATTAATAATAATCGATTTTATCCATTTTGAAGTTTCTAGTGGACTGATTCTGCGAGAATGATCATCGTCAAGTCTTGGATTCAGGATGCAAAAGACCAAGAAACAGTCAAACCATACAGACAATTCACGGCACTTAATTTTCAAAATTATTAGGCCGAAAACCTCATCAAAATCGGGCTACTATTTCAGGAATGGACTGAAGAATTGGTACGTGGATCAATCGAAGAAATAAATCACATTCCCGGATGAGACTGGAACTGCAACTTTATTTTAATGGAAGGAATTTTTGTATTTTAAAGTCACTGCATCCCCATTCTACACATGACCTATCTTGCATCATCACATTTTGAGATGGTGAAATGATTTTTTGGGAGGTTTTTTTTTTTTTCATATCACATGTAACCACTCGTCAAAAAATAAATAAATAAATAAAATCATTCACTCGTCCGCAAAATCACTATTTTAAAATGTTGTGTAGTTTCAAGTTCCATATCTTCAACTCACTTGAAATGATGATCCATCTTTTCAAGTCAAGAGGCGGAGACCCACCCCCTCCGATTTTAATTTTTTAAATAATTATTATATAATTACTAGGTAGGAAATGTAATTGGGTCATTTTCGCACTCCCTTAGGAAATTATAATAACACTTATAATTCTTTTAATTAGTTAATTTATGTACAAAAATTCAGAGCAATGTGTTTTCAACCCAATGTTTATAAATCTTTAGTTAAAAATATTAAAGGACATAGCAAACTTTGTAAAAAAAAGTTTGTGACTTTCCTATTTTTCTAAATGGTAATGTCGTAAACTCCATTAAAAATAATAAAAACAATGAAAGTCAAGGCCCAAATCAAATGCTTGAGATAATTTTAGACTCAACACAAAATAAAAGTCCAAAGGTTTATATAACAAAAATTTAACAGAAAACATAAAATGGTTTAATATATTCATTAAATTCTTGTTTGCTAAAAACAGAAAAACAATTCTTTAAATGGTTTTATCTTGTAATACAATAGAAGTATTTTTTCTTATTATATATGAAATTTGTCTAATTATATTATTTTTTTGTAAAATATATTAATACATCTTAAAGAATAAATTTAAACTCCATAGGCCGTAATCTTGCGATTTCAAGTTGCGAAATGTGTAAAAGTAGTTTCAAATAATTTTTAAGATATTTATTTATTTTTTTGGCAAAAGATTTTTAGTGAGGAAACAAAAATATATAAATATTAGCACTAAATATCTATTTTCAGTGTATTTAGTATTCCTGCTCTGAAAATTTTTATTTTACACCCCCTAATCCAAAATCCTGCCTCAGTCATTTCAAGTACCTTTTTTTATATCGAATAGGTACGCGATCCATACATAAGATATCAAGTATAATGAAAAAAATTAAAAAAAAAAGTTTAATATAAATAGAACTATTTATCAATATATTATAGAGTTTCTTGGGTTTAATTGATTCTAGCTTCAAATAAAAGTCCAAAACAATATACTGTATGAAAATGTCATCTCTAGTTATAGATAAGACTGGGTATTATTCATGGCATAAGAAGAGAATTTTAATGTGAAAATATGATTTTTGAACTTAGGGGTTCATAGTAGAACAGAAAATTAAAACCATGACAAAGTTGAAAGTTTTACTGTAAACAGACTCTTTATTTATCAAAAAAAAAAAAACAGACTCTTTAGAGTTTTACTGTAAACTATTTAAGTGACAAAGTTGATCCCTTATTTCACCGAATCATTTTAATGGCCTTATTGTCTACTCCAAAATAATGAACGGGTTCTGAACACTAATGACTAAACAAAACCACTTGAAAGTGAAAAGGAGACTCTTGTTGCCAAAGAGAGCTCCCCCAACTTTTTTTTTTTTTGTGAAGTGGAAAGAAGGGTTATTTAAGATTGAGACTGAAGAAGTAATTATTTTTCTCTTCGGGTTAAACCGTGCTAAATGTACCGCGTGAATTTAACTTCAAATCAGTTTGAAACTGAAATTCAGACTACTTAAGGCTCCCCTCCTTAAATAGCATCAATTTTCAACTACAAATCAATCTGAACTCAAATTCTGACTACATGAGGCTCCCATCCTTGAATTGGGGTGACCAGACGAATTGCATCTTCAGAAAATGAAATGTGATGTGCCAATGCCGCCACCGTGAATTTGCTAGACTTGTCCCAATTGCTGCTATCAATGATTTCAACATCTGCCTCAAACATCAAACAGGAACACCTGTTCGCCACGGCACATGGAAATACAAATCTCTTTCAATCAAATCAAGCTTTTGAGGAGTAATCAATCCTCTACAAACTGATACACAGATCTACAAGATACCAGATCACAATGTCACAACAAAAACATCAATCCATGCCTTTCACTTAAGCTTTTCACAGTAGAAGAAACTACAATTGAAATAAAAACAATGTTAAGATTTCCCACCAACTAAACTCTGATATCATTACAGAGATCAATTCGCAGCAACTGAACTATTCTATCATTCTTCCAAAACTTAAGCCTGGAAATAAATTTCTACCCTAACTGTACACTACATAGATCTCAAGGAAACTTGACCTTCAGAAGCTTTAAATAATGTGATGTGCCACAAAACATGGTTCTGCAACTGAGTTACCGTTTACTCCGAGTTGGTTGGCACTTCAAAGTCCAGGAATCAATTTCTTCAGAATGCTTCTCCAGTGATGTGCACCATTAATGGTTACCGTGGTCATGATTTCCTCCTTTCGAACAATTGACTTCTTAAATTACTCACAACTTGTTCCATTACGACAACATTTCTAGCAAGATACTCTTCAGCTTCCTTCTTAGAATTTAATGTTTCACCTTCTATACTGTAGCTGCCACCTTCAAGCAATATAGTTCCGTGTTCACAAGCCAAATCCAAGATCTCTGAAACGCAACATATACCCCTTCCAAATTTTATTGTCAGATCCGCATCTTTCATCGCAGGTGCCAGTTTATTTTTTATCACTTTTGCACAGACCTCAAGACCAGTAGCCTGACGAGGATAAGATCATCCAACATTAAGTTCCACAAAGATCTTAGGACTGTTCAAACAAGAAATTCTCTGGTCTAAACAAGTCACTGTAGAGACAGTTCCCCCTCCATCAAATAGAAAGGAAATTCTCCAAATGCCCCAAAGTAAACAGCAAAATTCCAGCAGGGTGTCTTAAACTGATGTAAAATAAGTCATGGCAGAAACAACAATTGGACCAACAAAATTTTTATATATATTACAATGATATCACATATGAAATTTAGCAATAATGACAATGGTATGGAATCGCATCCTATGCTCAGATGTAGCTTGAATATGGCAAAGAGATATCAATTTCACACAGCAGCAAACAGAAAACTTGCACATCTCCAGAAAAACAGCCAGAACTACTGAAACCATCCTCCAGAATTCAGACTAACTAGCATGTCAAGAAGGCAACCGTCCCCAGCAGAAAAGATATAAAACCCTGGATAATCACCATTAAAATTGCATTGGCTAAAAACTTACCATATCCGGATGAGTTTTGAGCAATTTTTTCCTGATAAGTTTCAGACGGATGGCCGCATAAAATGGTAAAGCATTCCCACCACAAGTAACCTCCTCTGACGGGTTATAACGTGGACCTGGTTTTAAATTTGCTCTCACCTAATTGGAAAAGAATCCAGATATGTTCAGTCTAGCTGTCAGAGAGTCAAAGTAATACGAGGTTCATGCTTTAATGAGACTGACCTGGTTAACAAAAATGATAAGAGTACGAGAATGGGCTAAAGAATAATGGATTTTGCGAAGTGCTTGCGTCATAATCCTAGATTGCATATCTCTGGTGGTGCCAACCTCTACAGAGTCAATTTCAAGTTGCGGGACAAGAGCAGCCACCTGCAAAGTCAACTAACCAAAGTCATAACGCAAAGGATAGACATGGAAGAAACAGCTGAAACATCAGGAAAGATAAGAAGTAAACTTAAATTGCTGGCTAACCATCTATTACTCTAGGGACAAAAGAACTGTCACAAAAACAAACTGCAGAGAGAAACCTAAAATTTCTGATAGGAAAATAAGGAACAAGATTACACATAGAACCACCCATAAAATTATAACTACCAGAGATATGATACAAACTCTGCAGAGAACTGTTACAGAGTTTCTAACGGGAAAAGGTGTTGATAACAAGAGTCCCAAAAAGTTATAACTACTTCAAAGACTAGCTAAAAATCAATCAGCGAATAGAAAGTAATTTTATCCGAAAGTTTTATGGCTTCACTAAGGTTGCATTGTTTTTTAGTTCATAGAGAAAACAGAATACAGAACAGTTTCCTCAAGGTTATACTCTATATTTTGTTTTAGGAGGGCGGTTTCTCTTGTAAAATAGTATGATAGAGGAACATACACTGTCGACCACAATAACATCTACCGACCCACTTTTTGTCAGTGTATCAACCATACTGAGCAAGTTTTCAGCACAATCTGGTTGCGAGATTAGGAGATTTTGTGTATTCACACCCATTGATTCAGCAAGGGAAGGATTCATTGCATTTTCCACGTCTAGGTAAGCACAATAACCTGCAATAAATTCAAATGAGTATCATCAAAGAGTAACTGAGCATACCAGAAAATGACACAAACTCTATGCTTCAACACCCCCGGAGGTCTCTGTATGAACCATAGAGACAAGATACCAAAAGAACGTCAATTGAGGGCAAAATAACTAAAGATGCAATTCATTCTTTGTTTGACTGAGGACTACTGTAATAGATACAAAAAGCTGCCTACTCACTCACATAAAACTTGCATAATAGTTTTCCTAGAAGATTTTCCCAAATAACATAAATTGAAATCTCATAATGCTGTTCAAAGTCACTGGAAAGGTTAATGCTACTGATAAGTGCATTGCGAAGAAAAGGAACAGCAGATAATATCGAATTCTACTCCTCCTACATATCCCAAAACCCTCGTAAGTCCTGAATCAACTATGCTCAAACAAATTATAAATCCATAATAATTCATAATAATCCTTCACAAGACATAAGACTTGAGAAATGTGTCAGAAAAACTGAGTCACAAACACAGCCCTTGCAATTAACCCAATTACACAATATTGCCAACAAACTCTGGTTCCTCAGTATCCAGCCATAATTTAAGCACAACAGGGGAAACAAGAAGACAGCAATTAAATAAAATAATCCTCCAGGACTTTCATGCTATATGCAGGTTGCCGTCATGTAAAACCCAAAGTCAAGAACAAAAGGTGTCGAAAACTTGAAAAGATAAGCAACAACAAGATAACATGCATAAAATCCTCAAAAATCTTAATAATGTATGTGCTGCAAGCTGGCATACGCACCTCCAAGCTTTTGAGCCTCCTTGATCACATGAAGTGCAAGTGTTGTCTTCCCAGATGCTTCCTGCCCAAAAATTTCAACTATCCTTCCCTGCAAAGTATAAAATCAAAGTAAGGATATACTTTGTGATATAAATTTACCCAAAATAAGAATCACAACCTCACATTGCTAATAAATTAGATAATCACCTTAGGCAGTCCTCCAATCCCAAGCGCTAAATCGAGCTTCAATGATCCAGTAGGAATTACCGGTGCTTTTCTAGACCCGAAGAACCGCTGCAAAGACAACATCGACTCTTTCCCAAAATCATTCGCAAGCTGCGAAATAGCTCCGCGCAAAGCAACTTCTTTCTCAACCGCCTTGGCATCATAAGGAATTTCATCAAATTCAAACTCGGTGGCAGCTTCTACTAAAAGAACAAAACAATTTAATCAGCCTTCATTAAGCTTATTAGTGTAAAGCTATAATCGTGACATTGATAAAGAACGCAATACCTTCAGAAGAGAAGCCCCGACTACGTGGAAACTCATTCTGTAAACATGGAAATTTCAACATTACAGACCGAAAACAGCCAAGCTAATGAAGAAATTTACATAACAAAGTAAAAATAAATCCGGGTTCTTGTCAGCGGGCGAAAGAGATAACCTGAGAAATGAACGAGGGAATGACGGAGATATGTCGGAAAGCAGAGAAACCATTGAGCCTTAAAATCTTCTGAAAGCTCCGAGGCGCCAAAGGCACCATGGTTGTTGTTTCTTCCTTTCGATTTTTGAAGGGATTTCTCTAACAATCTTAACATTCGAATATCTTAGGTTTGGAAGTAAAACACGAACAAAGCGGAGGAACTTTGCCGGAGCCGGAGCCAGAGCCGGTGCCGGGCCCTAAATTTATTTGGACCAAATTGTGCATTCTGGTGAGCGGCTTTGTTTCTTTTAATTTTGGTATAGGGAAAAACAAAAGAAGAAAAGCCAAGATCAAGGTTAAAGATGTATTTTTGACATTTTCAGGATATATTTGGGAAAAAATAGAATTCATTCAAAAGATTAGGGCTTGTTTGGCCAACATTTTGTTTTAGTTTTTATTTTGGTTTTTTATTTGGGTTTGATATATGATTTAAAATGTAGTTTGAGATAAAATTTCAAAAGTTATTTGGGTGATATTTTAAATAAACTAATAATATTTTTAGACCACCTCCACCACCCCTGCCACCGAACCGCCGCCAGCCGGCGACCGGCCAGCCAGATTCTGACCAAATTCCGGCCCGAAATTCGGCCGGCCGGTCATCGGCTACGGCGGTCCGGTGGCAACGGTGGTGGAGGTGGTCCGGTGGTGATGGATGAAAATTGTGTAAAAATAATTTTTTGAATATTTTTTAAAAAGTAAATTAAAAAATTGTTTGGATAGTATTGAGATTTGTGTTTGAGAGGTATTTTAAGAGGTAAAATGAGATAAAAATACAAAATAAGTGTTGGGCAAACAAGCTCAATTTGCCATAAATAAGCTTTTGGGCAGAAAATTGAACAAAATTGAACTTGTGTGCCCTTCAAATAGCTCCTAATATTTTAGTACGGATGTAAAATAACATATCACTACAGATTAACATATTGTTTAATAAATTCATAGTTTAATTATTACATTATTAGTCACTTTGAATAATCAGTTTGATTAAAATCATCATCTTCGGATCCCTCGCGGCGAAAATTTCAAAACATAATAAATATTTTTACATAATCATTAGTATATTGCCCCCATCCACTTTACTCGTGGATTGATCAGTCACAAGAAAATAAAGCTAAAGCAATTGATTTCTAAAATCTTAATTTGCCTTCCATGCTAGAAAGGTTGGCAAAAGAAATGATCCTTTTTCAGAGATTTGTTTTGCAACTTTTGAAATTCATAGACAAAAGGAATCGAAGAGACTAAAATCTTCTTAAACAATAAATGCTATTGGAAAAACGATTTGAACATAATCACATTGCACTTAATTATAAACACTAAAAAACAAAATTTCAGCCCTAGTCTACCTAAAACACCACTTAAAGATCAATTATGTTAGTCAATAAAAATTCATTTGCATGTGAGTGAATCCAAGATCTCATTCAAAATGTCTTTGAGAGAGAAATTAGAAATTCCTAATTTCGCCACATTGTCGGAGGACTAAAAAACTGTTGCAAGGTTGATGAATTTATGGGGGGAAGACGTAGATTCACTTTCGTTCCTTTGGGGAGAGAGATAAAATAGTCTTTTTGAATCAAAACATGTCAATAAAAGTTTTTTTTTTTTGGTATATAGTAATATAAAGGTATTTAAATATTCACGATAATTATTTTATAAAATGTTCTTTGCAATAGTCTTTATCTTTCACATACTCCTAAATTTTTGTTGGGCCATTTAAAAAAAAAAAAAAGGAAAGAAAGAAAGAAACAAGTCTTGAAGGCCTATATAATCCCACGTGTGATTTCAACTCAAAACCAATTAGTAATGAGAGGAGTAGCGCATGGGGTATATATGTTGATCAAATTGTTTTCTCAATTCCAATATGAGACAAGTGTTTTTCACTTATTTTCAAGTTCAAAAGGAAAAAGAAATGTTAACAGGAAGTAATCTCTTTTCCTCAACATTTTTTTTTTTATTATATTTCACTCTATACGGGCTTAATATAGGAAACTTGTTCACAATTTTTTGGCACAGTTTGTTCTTTGGCATCTCTTCATGCAGTACGCTTTTTTAACTTCTCAGATACTATTTGGATACTTAATTACCAAATTTATCCCTAACTTAGTCAGGAGCAAGTTATTTTGGGACAGTTTATTTGTGCAAATAGGCAAATGAGACAACCATTTGTACCGCAACAAATGCAGTAAAATTTCTTTAAAACTGTTGGAAGCACCAAAATATATTATTTTAGAGAATTTTTAAATAATTGATAAATTAATAATATATTAATCTAAAGAGTTTCCTAAGGAAAATAACTCTTATTAAATTATCTTTAACATCCTAATCAAACATTCATTGAAAGTTTTCTTGACACAAAAATTTATACATGGTTCATATCATCTTCAGTTACTAAGAACAAGTATCGATAGTTTATTTTTACTCAATGTTTATAGTTATTATTACTATATTTTGAGTTAGGGTAAGTATTAATTTATAATATTTTCGGACCCAATAGATATGTATGAAATTTTTGTTAAATATTATTATTTTATTATTTTATCAATTTTATTTCGCCTTTTGTACTGGTCACAACTTAGAATTGGAGAAAATTATTAATTACTCGAGATTATTACTCATTTTTTAGATTATTAATTTAGCGACTTATTGAAGAGTGAGTATATTGAGCAAATTTATTAACAAAATTAAGCTCTCATAAATAATAAATATTACACAATAAGTTGAATAATGGCACAATGCTTGAAACAAAGTGTTTTATTCTTTTTCCTTGTACTTTTAACCTAGTTAACATTTGGTTTAAAATCAGATAAGCCAAATTATCAAATCCATTCAAAATTAGAGCAACATAATTATTTTAAGCCACATCATATGCATTTTTGAGGATTAGTTTCATTAGGAAACTCCATCTATTATTTACCACAAAAAAAAAATAAAGAAATTCCTTCTATCTAGCTAGGTATAGTATAGATGGATAGCGTGAGATATACCAAGTGTGTTTTTATTTATCATTGGTTTTAAATTATGATAGGATATAAATTGAGAAAATGTAAATACATTGTAATCTTATGTATTTTATATCGTAATTAATACATAATAAATAGAAGATGCTTAACTTAAACCTTGCAAATCTTTTTTTTTTCCTATAAATGAAAAAACCCTTAAACCTTGTAAATTTTTTTGTTTGTTTCCTTTTTTATGGTTTTTCTAGAATTATTAATTAATAACTGTCACATCCCAGCATACCTTTTTTTACATTTGCAATACATCTTTTTACATTACTAATACAAAAAACACCTAAAAATACACACTGAAAAAACGAAACAAACATACCATTGGACTACCTTTTTTGTTGTCGGATAAGAGAGTACAATTGTTCTGGAAGAATCATGAATTCTGAAGAATCCGGTAAATACGATGATCAATTGCCCGGAGGAAGAAAACCTAATGATGATCAATCTCCTAGTGCCAACCCAGACTTAGCATATTGGTATCGACATCTTCCTAATCCACCGACACCTGCTGACGGCCAACCAATTCCTTTTGACGTTAGATCTTTGTTTTTAATATCTAGAGTTTTATTTTTTTGGGACTTATCAATTAAATCTCTCCTTTAATCCTAATATTTTACCTAATTTGATGTTTTCTTGCTTGGATTCAGTCGGATGATAAAGACGACTATGATGATGATGATGATGAGATGCATCGTGATTTTCCGCTGCCTCCTCTACCGTCATGTGTATCCACTGATGATTTTGTAAAGATGCACCCTTTCTATTGTGCCCGCACGCTGGAGGTAAGTTTTGTCTCCTCTTTGTATTGTTTTTGTTCTTGTTTTTGTTTTTTTTAAAAAAAAAAAACCACCAAAAGTTGGATTCCCAAATGAGGGGTTTTGAACTGTATCTACTCTAATTACTGAAGGAGGGAGAGGAAGTTGAAGTCATGAATGCTGAATCCATTCGGGAAGATCAAATGCGAGCCGTCTTGAAACGTGTGTGGACCGATTGCCCCGATGAACCCTATGAAGACGAGGGGGCACCGGCTTTTGCTTTTCATTATGGTGGAAAGGAAACGAGTGTTGGTAGTTGTTAATCATCCAGCTGTTAGCAAGGATGATTCTAAATCAGTTGTGTTGTTTGAGTATGGTTTGATTCAATTGTTGTGCTCAACTCCTTCCTGTCTATAAGGCATTTTGACTTGTCATAGGTTTCACCTGGTACATTTTTTTAATTAACAAAAAAAAAAACATTAAAGGTATTTCCTAACAATGAAGAAAACACAACTTATGTGAAAATATATTCTTTTTAAAAAAATCGATTAGAAATACAGGAACTTATGACAAATCAAATTGTCTTATATTAAGGACCGGAATGAGTATTATTGTCTTTCAGTTCATACATCGGCATCCATAAAGTTAGTGAGGAGGCGAATGAAATTAAAGTTTCAACGAATTAGATAGCATTAGTAGCTATGATTTGGTTCATTTGGTATATGTCAGTGATCAGACATCCAACCGTTTGCTAATTTCCTTATCAGGTTCTCCCTCTGGGTCATCTTCCTTACTGCCTAACATGATTGATCTCAATTCTTACACTATTGCCACCATTTTTGTGAAGCTTGAGGAGAGTAAAAATTTGCTCCAAGCTCTGAAGAACAGGGTATTTAGTGTGTATGTCTGCTTTAAATTGTTCTTATTGGACTTTTTTCCAAGACATCCAAAATTCAGGAAAACGTGAAGAGATTTTGATTTTGGTTTTGTGGCTGGAAGTCTGATTATTAACCTTTTTTTTTAACTAGTTTGACCAATTTCAAGAAGTGCAGAAAAGGGAAATTTCATTTGCGGAGATAGCTCAGTTAATGACGGATGTTCTAGCGTATCGCTGTGAAGTTGGATTGCATGCTGGTGGAATGATAAAATAGGTGCCACTAAATTGCATCGAGCGGAATGGCATGGGGGTACTAATTAAAGGGAAAAGATTTTCTTCTGGATCTGGACTCGATTATGCCTATTTCAATGTGGAGAACATGAAATATGGATGGTATGGCTTTTCCATCTCATTAGTTACTATGTCAGTAGTTTAAGTAATGAATCTTCATCACTTTTTAGTCGTCTTGATTTGTTTTTTTCTTAGCAGATATCTATATTGGCAATTTCCTTTGGCTTTAAGGTCAATTGTACATGTTGCATATAGGGCTAGGAAAGGTCAGGTTGATCAAGGGTGGGGTCTTCCTGCTACTAAAGGTGAAGATTTCGTGAGTGGTAAGTATCTCTCTTTCTGTTTCTCTTTCCATCAAAGTTACACTTAAACTTGTACCCATAGATCAGCATGCCCATCTAATTTTTCCCAGATGGTTGAGTGTATTCCTTCTTATGTTTTGATGTTCCATGTAGGGTCTTGGGGTGGACGACTCTCTATGATGACGAGGATGTGAAGAGATCTGTGCAGCGCTATGGCCTCGAACGGTATGGGGGTTTTGATGAGGAGATGATATTTTAGAGACACCCGATGGACGGGTTGGATGAGAAGATGATACTTTATTAGAGACAACCCAGATTCGGTTTTGTTGATACGTTAAATTATTGGGTGTCTAGCTAGCTATGGATATCTAATAAAATGTAAACTGTGCTCAGTTAAAAAAACCATATTGCCACATTAGTGGCTTTCCAAAAAAAATTATTGGATGCGATTTGTAACCACTGATTTTATGGTGTTCACCAGATTTGGGACTAAAAACAGCGCAAGGACCGGATGGGACTTATCTCTGTGGTACTTGATTGTGCACGCATTATGCAACTATGGTAGTTTAGTACTATGCACTTGGTATCGGCTTCTGTTTAGAATTGAAGTCTAGAGCTGCTGCGTTTGTTTTACATCTTTGTACCAGATAACGCACTATAGACTGCAGTAGTGCCGTCCCATTTCACTTTTAGAAGGTACGTACAAAGGCCATTGAAAGAGCAGGAGCATCCAAGTTGAATTCAATTTGAATTTCTTTTATTTAGACTTTACAGGCTGTAATTAATTTTATCGCAAGGTACCGAAAGACGACACTCAGGCAGCCAGAAAAACAGAGAGATACTCCCCAAGGAATGGGATATAATTATATTTGTTTTTTTTTCAATAGAAGAGTTTAATTCTTTACATCAATGCATTGCAAGGATATATAACTCTTCTCAAACCTTGGTCTAATCACGAATTAATCTTCGATGATAAAGTTTCTAGCTAATGCAATTTCTCGAGCCTTATGTTTGTGCTAATGAAACTAGATAGTGAGTAACGAAGTTTGTCTCCGTAAAACACCAGTTTGAACTCAATCACCCATTCTTGTTTAAACAAATATAATCTGTTTCGAATCTCAAGTAAGTTGGTAGCTAGCTATCTAGAAGTAACACACAAGTGAAATCCTCTGGTACAAAGATGCAAACAAGCAGCATTACTAGTCACTTCAAACGGTTTCTTTCATTTCACGTTGCGTGCGGGTTTGCCCCTATGACGAATGTGAAATCCCGTTGGTGGCGGGTCAACGGTCTTTAGGGCAAGATCATGTTCAAATGCGTGCTTATAATTGTGGACTAGTTTAACATTGGGATGCTTGATTTTGTTTGGCTATGCTATTGTTGGAAACTGGCCATTGTATATTAATTGGACTAAATAACAAATAAAATAAAATAAAGACGTGAACAAATTCCAAGGATGAATGACAATCTTTTACTATACATTCATTGGCTGAAACTTGAAAGTGCTTCCATATCAGCCGTGGCATTAATTAGAAAGCTATATAGTAGTTTGCAATATGAAGCCATGACCTTGGGGGAGTATTTATGCAACTCCACAACTCTCCGTATCAATTAGGTGTGATCTAGGGGAAGGAATGATACACTTTGTATTTGCATGTTGAAAACCCCACACTAGCATTGGATGCATTATGCAACTATGGTACTTACTACTTAGTGTGGTACTTAATTAATTACAGCCTATCTACTTAGTGTGGTACTTAAATAACTCCCCAAGGAATTTTGACTTAATACTGTGGTGTTCCCTCCTGTCCTTAATATATGGTATTTTGATTTGTCCTAAATTTGACCTAATATCTATTTTTAATTTAAGAAAAAACTTTAAAAACACATTTTTACATTCTTTATATTCTCCTAATTATTTAAAAATTAATTTCCAAATGGGTTCTGAATTTATTTAGGAACGAGTACTTCTTCAAATAATACTCCCTCCGTTCATTTCAAATAAAACCCCCTCCATCCCAAAATTATTGCCTATAATGGATTTAAATTTTTAGTATAATTTGAACTAAAAACAAAATTCAAACTGGATAATAATTTCGGGACGGAAGGAGTATTATTTACGACTACAACAACAATAAAGAAGATTACTGGTGGAGTTTATTTTATTATGGAATGAAGTTAGAATTAACGACTCACCCATCATATATTTTTGACAATTCTGGTTTCGGTCTTGGTGAGATTCGTTTTGGGAAGATGATGGTATTCATCCTAATTTTAGGCTTTTTTAGCAAATACCATATAAACCAGCTTTTAGAAACAATAATGACGATTTTTTCTCTACAAACCTATCAAAGCTTCTAATCAGTGATGAACTCAAAGTAATTTTTCAGCATGGTTACAAAACAGATACGAGTGACAATTACTCCTTGGAGGTACCTAGCTCGACTATTTATTTTGGAGCTAGTACTATTTTGTTCTGTTGAATTCATATGTAGTATAGTACTAGTACTAGTATGTATTCAATCCCTATTCCTAACGAAGTAAATTTGTTACTTTTATTTTTTATTTTATATTTTTTTGGTTACGAACCAAGAGCATTAGTGCATTTGTATGACACAATTTCTTTTTTTTTTTTTGTATATTTATCCTCTGGATTCAACATGGACTAAACTAGCTTATCAGGTATTAATTGAAGAGAACTTTAGGCAAGGATTTATAATTTTGTTTCTTTAAATAAAGACAATAAGTTCACATATTTTAAGTTGTTTACATCTCTCGATACTATAATATAATAGGATATCCAAATTCATGCATTGTATGTTTTGCTTCTTTCACAGGTTGTAGATAAGAGGCAAAATTTTTAAGCGTTGCTAACATACCCGTGATCCTACATCAGCTATCTCACTTCATCAAGCCTTTTCAAGTTCTATTTCTAGCTTGCATTAGGCATGCCCAAGGTTCCAGTTCGAACCGGAACCAAACTGGATCATGAGATTCCGGTTTTTGAACCGTTTTCAAAAGTTCAAAAATTATAAACGAAACTTGTATTGGTGGTTCAGTTATGGTTTTATTAGTTTTTAAAACCATGAACCAACAATTTTAATCGGCGGTTCTAACCATCAGTTTTGAATTGTAAACCGTCGATTTAATTGTCTGTTAAACTGTATTTCCGTAATTTCATCATTTTTTAATTATAAAAAGTTAAATTTCAACACTCTCAGTCACCACCTTCTTCCCACCACCATCGTCGCCACTACTACTTCGTCATACATAGTAAAACATCTCATAAAAGAGAAGTTTCAATTATACTAAAAACAGTCACTAATATAATATCAAAAGTAAATCAAAATCTAAGAAATAATAAATATCACACATTTTACACCAGGTACTCTCCCTTATTTTATACATTTTACACAGGATACACATATCTTCAATATAGTTTTTTCTCTCGCGAACCATGTTCTAACTTAAGAATCAGAGTGCTAAATTTTTCTTTTGTTGCAAGTTTTGCGTGTTATTCTCTCTTAAATCATCAGTGATGTGAGCTCTGAATATTCTTGTGAATTTCGATTTCAACAGTAACTTTTTAGTTTCTTTCAGAATAGTTATTTTTTAGAGTATAACACAAACTATCTCTTTATTCAGATAATGTTTGTAAAGATTGCTTGTTGATCTGAGTAAGTCTTAGCACTGTCTATGTATTATTTTCATTTAGTTAAAAATTTGGGGTATACATGGCAAGTATTGTCCTATTTTTAAAATATAAAACAACTGAGTTTTTCACTCACATTCCATATCATGTACAAACTTCCACATTCTACGTTCCATAATTTTCTGGCCTCAGGGAACTGAAAAGATTGGATGCTACATTAACAAGCTTATTGTAACATGTATTCGAAGTGGACTTAATTGAGCATTTCGAGCGATGCAAAAGCCAGAGCGTGCATCTATACGAGCTTTGAGGGCATCATCTTCTGGATTGTTCTTTCTTTTCAACCATCTAACTCTTTAATTCTATAGAATATGATTCCCTGAACTTGAATTACATAATTGGTAATTTTGAAACTAACCAGAGCCTGCAATAGATGTCGCACTTAAAATTTCATGAAGCTATATAGCTGAAGCATACCCTTCAAAAAAGGGGGGAATTTCTCTCTCTTCTCTCTTCTCTCTCTTCCTTTCTTTCCCTTCACGTCTCTTCTTTTCTCTTCTTTAGTTCTCCGGGAGAGAGTCCCCTCCATCTTCCCATCCTCCATGATTGAGGATGGGAATCTAAATTTTTGTTTTGTATTGTCACTCTCCTCTTGTAGGAGATTTGGCTCACCCAATCTTGGGTGTTTTGCTCTTTCCGTCTGAAATAAAATTTCAGATCTAGAAGTTTTTTTTCTTTTTTCTTTTTTTTTTCTTTTTTTTTTTGACATATTTTAGATCTCTCCTTGAGAGATCTAATTGGTATATTTAGTATAATTCTGTTAACGGATCTAATTAATCGGAAAATATTTTCTGACCAATTTTCCGGCTGCTTTCCGGCAGATTTCAGAAGGTAAACATGAAGATAAAAGGCGGAGCAGCTGTTGATCTAATATTGTAGGCGTTATAGATCTGAAAACTTGAAGCCAGATCTACAGTGTAAGTTAGATCTTCAAATCTTTGAATTAAAAGGTTCATTTTGTAAGTTTTTAGCTGTAAAATATCTTCCCCTTTACTTGGTGAAGTTAGTTAGATCTAGAATAGTTCACAGAATAGAGATGTGCTCTTCTGCCATGACTAGATTTAGCTTATCTTGATACAACTCTTGTACAATTTTGTAAATTTTGATCTGTTTTTTTTAATAAACTTGAATATCGTTTGGAAAAAAAATGTAGCTGAAGCATCTAGGGTCCTTTCGTTATAGTGCTTAAATGTTTATTCTGTTATTTGCTTGTTTTAAATTTTCTATGATTCACAAAATCAAGGGCATTTTTTGGATGTCTTCTCAACTGAGTAGTATCAACTGAGAATTAATCCTTAGACAAATGATTGCTTTCTCAAAATTTTATTTAGATGGGTATAATTTGTAAGACATTGTAATTCAATCAACATATCTTCTAAATAAATTAGCATGAGGACTCGTTTGGTATTTGTTTTTATTCTTCTCTTTCTTAGTTGACAGCTGGTGACACTTTTTTTTTTTTAACTTTCAATTAGGTATCTTTTAATCTTGTTTCATGATGCACATGTGGACGTCTAGGCGATGACCAAGACCCCAATTATGGTAAATTTCCTTTTCGAATTTTAGGCCTCTAATACAATTTCAATTCTAAGTCTGTTACATCCAAATCAAAAATTATTTGAGCTATGAAGAAACTCTAGAACACCAGCATCGGTTAATGCTTAGTTGGCAGTGCACATCTCTTTTTACAAGCAACTACTTTATTTTTTGGTTGGAGTGTTGTGAGGTTTCTACTAATTGAAAGATGGCTGACCACCGAGGAGAAAGATTGTCACTCAAGAAAATGAGTTGTTGATATCTGTTGTTTATAATTGAAGAGTCCATTCATGACTTTCTGAAATTTTCTACAGTAATGATTATGGTACTATCTTTTTTCTTTTGGTAAAGAGTTATGGTCGTTCGGGAACAACCATTTCCATCATAGGAACCCCTCCATAAATATGAATTTGTGTGATGATGATATAAGTACTCATGTTTTCACCTTGCCCTCTTGTTCTTAGAACATTTTTGCTCATCTTGCTATGAACTTGAACATGTTCTTTATGTTCCATGATGCAACTCAGATCAGTGGCTCTTCCATTCACTATAGTTGAACGGACTCTTCCTACGGTCCCCTTGCTTAGTGCAAACTGACCTTCTAAAACCTCAAAATTGTCCGAAGATCTGTCATCCATACTGCTATCTGGGACATCTTCCCCTACAATGGCTTCTTTTGCAGATACCAGTGAGCTACTAGTTCTTTGTTGGCTATATTTTGTTTCACGCTCTTTAGTATCATCTGCTTAACCTATAGACCCCTTGATACCAGTAAGCATCTAGATTCTTTTAGATTGTCAGGAATTTGATTTTTCTGGAGAACTAGAGTCTGTCTGTTTAACTAACACATGATGTTCAATTTGTTGCAATTATAGAGACAAAGAAAATCATTGCCTTTGTGAGTATCCCTACGCGAACTGGAAAGTTACTGATGGCAGTTGGCTATTTGGTATTTTGGAAAGAATAGTTAGAAGTTTTTGGCTCGTAGAACACACATGGTATGCAGCCGCTGATATTATAAAGCAATATATATTTTATTTTAATACACCCAACGCCTAAAATATAAACACCGTCTCTGGTAGAAAGCCTTTTAGTGTTGTGTTGGTTTGCATAAAGGAGAAGAGTTGCACTGTGATGTTGATGAAGATAAAACTGTTGCTCACAGATATCGTAGAAATACGGTTACTATAGTTCAAGTGACTAAAATTGTTGCTGATAGATATCTTGAAAATACTTTATCTTATTACAGTCTTTTTGAGCATATATTCACGATAGTAAGATAAAATGTGTTGTTTCTTGCAGCAGCTAAGCAGTATGATGGAACCACAACTCTGGCTATTATTTGCACTGCTGGTATCTTAATTGCGGCTGATTCCAGATCCTCTGTCCACAATGGTGAAATGATTACAGTTAAAGATCACGCATACAAGGTTGTCTCTGTGTCCAAGAGAGTGATGGCAACAATTTTTGGACCAAAAACTTTTGGTAAACAGAGGCTTCAATCAGTTTGCGAGCATGCTGATCAAGTTGTAATTCCGATGAGTGTTTTGTATTCGGCACAAACACTAAAATCTGACTTGAAAAAGAACAAGGACCAGATACCGGAGGGACGCACACCCGGGTTTATAGTTGCCGGATGGGATGACCATGGACCCAGCATCTACAGAGTAAATGGACAAGGCATATTCAAAGCAAATAAATCTGCAGTTACAGGGAGTGGTGCATCTTATGCTCTCAAAGTTATCTTTGATAAAATTAATCCGTTTTGGAATGAAGAACTATTCAAGGCAGATATTAGGATTGATTACAGATTTGATGTTATTAGGACAACTATTTGTAATGCTGCTCGGATAGACACATTCACCGGGAACACTATGAGTTGTTTCCTAATCACGGAAGCTGGAATTCAAAAAGGTTTTTTTTTAGAGAAAATATCAAAGACAACATTAAGAGTGGTGTAAAGTTTCATTACAACCGGAGGAGTCATGCTGATGAAGAAGAGCCAAGCAGCGTCACTATTGAGTAAATATAATCCTGGAGTGTTCTCGTTCTCACTATGGCGCCTTCTCCTCTTTCTGTTATATTATAATTCCCTTTACTACATGTTGTTCAGCCTTCTTCCGGAGCTTCTGCTACTTCCATACTTCACTCTTTTTTACTGTAATTTTTACTTGCTCAAACTGGATGCACCGTGTTTCTAGGAGAGTTCTTGTAAGAGTTGAGCGCCTTCCCTTTTAAATTCTTTCACCAGTTGTTCTCTTTTTCCTTCATCTGCTTTCTCTTGCTCTAAATCGAATCCATATTGAGTGCACCCAGGTGTATTGTAGTCTCCCTCCTATTTTTTGCACTAGGAGTCTTTATTGTACTTTTCTTCAATCTTTTTATACTTCGCAGGTATAGTCCCTACTTTTTTTTATCTCTCTTTTAAAAAATATCTCTAATTCTTAAATGAGCATATCTCATGATCCGTGAAAAATTTGTAAACGAATTATGTATGAAAATTATAGTACTCGTCGAGATCTATCCAACAAGATCCATATCAAATATTTTTTCCGAGTTTAAAAATATCAAATTTTGATGAGCAGAAATAAGATGGATATCTCGTTTAAAAAGATGGATAGCCAACTATTTTATATTCATATTGTTGTGTTACTTATATCTCTTGATCCGTGAATAACTAGAAAATGAATTATATATGAAACTTATAATACTTGATAAGACCTATCTGATAAGATCAATATCAAATATTTTGTTTGAACTTCAAATGCATTACAAACCATTTGGATAATGAGTGAAAATAATTAGATAAACAGTACAAATCGGTTGGATAATCAATATAAAAAATTGGACAATCATTTTCATAAAAAAATAAGAAAAAAGAAAAAAATTTGGATAACCATTGCCAAGAAGTTGGATCATCAGTATAAATATATTCGTAAGACATTTTCTCTACGAAAAAGAAAAAGAAAAAAAAAGTGATTGAACGAGCAGTGCAAATTCTGTTTGGTAAGCGGTAAAAACGATTGGATAATCAATACAAAGCGGTTGGATAGTCAGTATAAACAAACTGGACAAGGATTTTTGTAAAAAAAAAAAAAAAGAGAGAAAAAATGGCTGGAGAAGTAGTATTATGCATTTGGATAACCACTAAGAACACATTGGACAATTTTTTAAAAAAAAAAGAAAAAAAGAAAAAGAAAGCCTATGTTGGATAAGCATTACCAATCAATTGGATGGATATCAGTACAAACATATTTGACAAGCATTTTCATAAAAAGAAAATAAAAAAATTAGTTGAAGAAGTAATACTAAGAATATAGATAATCAGTATGAACATACTAGACAAGCATTTTCTCAAGAGGAAAAAAAATGATTGAACAAGAAATATAGACTTATTTAGACAAGAAGTAAAAATAATTGGATAACCAATACAAAGTGATTGGATAATGACTAAGAACATATTGGATAACCATGTTTCAAAGAAAAAAAAATGATTGGATAAGCAGCATAAACAAAATGGATAATCAGTATTACGTATTGGACAATGATTTTTTCCAAACAAAAAAAAATGATTGGATAACCAATACAAACTTATTTGGACAAGCGGTAAAAAAATTGGTTAACCAATACAGAACGATTGGATAATCACTATGAACACATTGGATAACCGTATTTCAGAGAAAAAAAATGATTGGATAAGCGTCATAAACAAAATGGATAATCAATATTAGCGTATCGGACAATGATTTTTTAAAAAAAGAAATGACTAGATAATCAGTACAAAAAAATGGATAATGAGTTCAAACCGGTTGGATAATCGGTATGAACCAATGGATAAGCATTTTCAGAAGAACAAAAAGAAACATATTCCTTCATTTGTGCCTATAAAAATTAAATGTGTTTAAAGTTTGAAAAAAATGTTTGATATGATCTTATCGGATAGATTTCGTCGATCACTATTAATTTCATTCGTTTTCTAATTCTTTTTTGGATTGAAAGATACAAGTAATACAAGAATATCAATATAAAATAGTTGGTTATCCATCTTTTTAAACGGGATCCATCTTATTTCTGCCAATAAAATTTGACCATTTTTAAGCTTGAAAATAATATTCAATATGGATCTTGTTGGATAGATCTCGTCGAGTACTACAAATTTCATATATAATTTGTTTACAACTTTATACGGATCATGAGATATGCTCGTTTGAAGATTATAGATGTTTTTTGGAGGAGAGAGTAAAAAGTAATAGAGACTAAATTTACAAAATAAAAAATATTAAGAAAAAAGGACAACAAGGATCATATGTGCAAAAAATATGAGGGGAACCACGGTATACCCAGGTGCACCCAATAAATTGTCCTCTAAATTATAATTCAATTCAATTAACACCATGGATTTAGGCTTAACAACACGTTTTTTTCTTCACTTTGGCACTAGCGCCATAATTTTGTTTTATGCCTTTGTTGGCTCTGTTTGTGGAGATTTACCTCTGCATGAGTCTGCATAATATGATTGTAACATTACACTGACTTATCTAGATTTTATCATTTCACTCCATTCAAATTCTCCAAATGATAATGAGAAATAGATCAAGCAGTGAAGGATCGAACTAAAGTCATATGCCATATAGCATGATAAAACTCAAAGTTAAGAGATGAAAGCTATCTTCTACATGTTAAGAAATACCATGAATTAGTCACATTTGATGATTCTTTTCATTCCCACACTAAGAAGACAAGGAAGTTTGTATCAGACAGGCAATAACCTGTTTCTCATCACTTCAAGAGGCATCGGGCTTTAGAATAACTCGAATAAAAGTTTACATGGATTATGAGACATTAACTCGAAATCTGAGAGATGAACCAATCACAATAGATGCACAAGAAATTAATTCAGTTTTATTGTGAATTGATTAAAATTAGCCGGAAGTTTTCCCCTTTGACTTTTAATTTTGTTCGTCAAAAGATGTATAGGATATTTTATGCAAATAGTAAATCAAATCAGGAGCGTAAAAGTAGTAAAGGTCTCGAATCCTGATTAGCAAATGCTACAGCCGTCTCCCAACTACTGAAGGTCACAAACACAAAATACAAAATAAAAAATAATTTTTTTTTTTAGAAAAAAACAGTTATACGACATATCCAGATGTCTCTAAAATATCATCTCCTCATCAAACCCCCCATAGCGTTTGAGGCCATAGCGTTGCACGCATCTCTTCACATCCTCTCCATCATATATAGTCGCCCACCCCCACGGCCCTACATGGTACACTGAGAACAACAAAAGGAGGAATGCACTCAACCATCTGGGAAAAATTAGATGGGCATGCTGATCTAAGGGTACAAATTTGTAACTTTGATGGAAAAAGAAACAGAGAGATACTTGCAACTCACAAAGTCTTCACCTTTGGACGCAGGAAGACCCCACCCCTGATCAACCTAACCTTTCCTAGCCCCATATGCAACATTTACAATTGACCTTAGAGCCAAAGAAAATTCCCAATGTATATATCCGCTAAGAAACAATAAATCAAGATGATTAAAAAGTGGTGAACATTCATTGCTTAAAATATGACGTAGTAAATAATGAGAAGGAAAAGCCATAACCTCCATATTTCCTGTTCTCCATATTGAAATAGGCATAATCGAGCCCAGATCCAGAGGCAAATCTTTCCCCCTTAATCAGTACCCCCCATACCATCCACTCCAGTGGCACTTGTTTTACCAGTCTACCCAGCAAGCAGTCCAACTTCACACCGATACGCCAGAACATCGGCCATCAACTGAGCTGTCTCCGCAATTGAAATTTCCCTCTTCTGCTCTCCTTGAAATCGGCCCAGCTAGTAAAAATGTTAAATAATCAGACTTCCAGCAAAAAAAATAAGTAAACTAGCCAAATCAAAATCTCTACATGTTCTCCTGAATTTGGGATGTCTCGGAAAAAAAAAAACTCCAATAAAACAATTTCAAGTAAGCATATACAGTAAATACCTTGTTTTTCAGAGATTGAAGCAAATTTTTGTTTCCCTCAAGCTCCCAGAGATGGTGTGTAATAGTATAAGGATTGAGATCAATTACGTTAGGGGGCGACGAAGATGATCCAGAGGGAGACCCTAATAAGGAAATTAATAAATAGTTGGTTGTCTAATCACTGACATATAACAAATGAACCAAATCATGGTGATACTATCTAATTTGTTGAGATATTAATTTTATTCGCCTCTTCACTGGATGTACTAACAGAAAGATAGGGCAGAAAGATAATGGAGCACAACAACTGAATCATACCATATTCGAACTGAAAGAATCAAACAGGCTTAATTGATTTGATTAGCCTGGTGTACTTTGAATATATAGAGTTGAAGTTTTACATAATAAGTACAATGAGGATAGAACTCTTAAAGAGATAAATGCACAAGAATTTCAAAAAACACTTATCACTAAAAACTAACTTTACAATTTCAAATATTATATCTAACATTCCCCCTCAATCAGAACATGGAGAATCTTGCACGTGAAGATTGTTCCGCAAAGTTTTGAATCAATGAGAAGTCAAGCCTTTTGTAAGCACATCAGCTATCTGTTGTTGAGTAGGAATGAACCGAACATGAAGAAAACTGAAAGCCACCCTTTCTCGGACAAAATGTAGGTCAATTTCTAGATGTTTGGTCCGAGAATGATACAAAGGATTGACAGTAAGATATATAGCACTGATGTTATCACAGAGAAGTAAAGGTGGGTCTTTCAACACAAAATGAAGATCCTTAAGTAAATTTTGAATCCATAGCAATCAGCAACTGTATGAGCAAGGGCCCGATATTCAGCTTCGGTGCTCGATCGAGACACTGTTTGTTGTTTCTTGGAACTCCAAGAGATCAAATTATTGCCATAAAATATAGCATAGCCAGTTGTGGATCTTCTAGTGTCGTGGCAACCGCCCAATCAAGATCGAGTAAGCGGTGAGAGTACTGACGAGGATGATGATAACATCAAACCATGATTTATGGTGCCAGCATTGTACCGTAAAATTCTCTTTACCAAAGAAAGATGAGAAGATCTTGGAGCATGCATAAATTGACAGACCGTATTGACAGCAAAGGAGATATCAGGCCTGGTAATAGTGAGATATTGAAGTGCTCCAACTAGGCTACGGTATTCAGTAGGATCAGCTAAAATGTCACCATCAGTAGATAAAGGTTTGGCACCACTAAAGGGAGTGCTCACAGGTTTGCAATGGAGTAAAGAAGCACGAGATAAGAGATCACGAGCGTATTTTGATTGAGTAAGAGAAAGACCCGATGATGTGTGAATAACTTGAATGCCAAGAAAGTAATTTAATTGACCAAGATCATTCATGGAGAATGTATTGCGGAGATGAGAAATAAATGTGTCTAGAAGAGAGGAATCGGACCGTGTGAGAATAATATCATCTACATATAAAAGAAGAATAAGATAGGAATGAGTATGATGATAGATGAACATGGATGTATCTGCCCAACTATTATGAAAGCCATAATTTAACAAGAATGAACTAAAACGAGAAAACCAAGCTCGTGGAGCTTGTTTGAGACCATAAATGGCTTTGTTGAGTTTATATACATGCTGTGGAAAATTAGGGTGAACAAAACCTTGTGGTTGAGACATATATACCTCCTCATTCAGAATACCATGTAGAAAAGCATTTTTAACGTCAAGCTGACGTAAGGACCAACCCCGAGAAATAGCAATAGAGAGGACCAAGCGAATGGTGGGTGGCCTAACGACAGGACTGAAAGTTTCATCAAAGTCAATACCACGTTGTTGGTTATAACCCTTTGTGACAAGTCTCTCTTTGCATCGCTCAAGAGAGCCATCAGAGTTTTGTTTGACACGATACACCCACTTACTGCCAATGACATGCATGTGAGGGCGATATGGAACAAGAGTCCAAGTTTGATTAGAAATGAGAGCATTGAATTCATCGGCCATGGCAGCACGCCAATGAGGTTCTTTAGATGCGGCTGAATATGAGGTGGGTTCAGATGGTAAAGGTTGAGAAGGAAGAGCAGCTAGTGCATATTTAGGATTAGGTTTGTGAATTCCAGCCTTAAGGCGAGTGAGCATAGGATGAGAGGATGAAAGTTCAGAATTGGTAGATGGAGTGACAGTAGGAGTAGGTGTATGTGTGGATGAACACGGACTTATTTGTAAGGAAGGAACAGGAAAAAGTGGACGACGACGCAAAGAAGACTGAGTTGAAGATCAGGAGCTGAAAGGAATGATGTGAAGGGAAAGACATTTTCAACAAAACGAACACTGCAACTGATATAGACTCGCTGAGTCGAAAAGTGAAGACAACGGTAACCCTTTTGTTGAGAACTATAACCAAGAAAGGCACAAGGAGCTGACGGGGAATTTAATTTATGAGTTCTATAGGCTTGAAGATTAGGATAACATAAGCAACCGAAAGGTCGAAAAATAGTGTAATCAGGAGGTCGATTGAACAAGACTTCAAAAGGTGATTGATTGTGAAGAACAGGAGTGGGGAGCCTATTGATTAAAAATACAGCAGTGGAAAAAGCTTCTACCCAAAGAGAATGAGACGCATTAGCATGATAAAGCATAGTACGGGCAACATCTGAAAGATGACGATGCTTTCGTTCAGAAAGACCATTTTGCTGCGGCGTATGAGGGCAAGTAAATTGATGATGAATACCATTTTCATTAAGAAATTGAATGAAGCGAGAATTGAGATATTCGCCACCACCGTCAGTGCGAAAAATTTTGAGACAAGAGGAGAATTGTGTTTCGACATGTGCTTTGAAGGTTTTAAAACATTCAAAAACTTCATGTTTAAAACGTAAAGGATAAAACCAAGTAAAGCGGGAGTAATCGTCTACAAAGATGACATAATAACGATAGCCACTGACAGAGGAAATGGGAGATGTCCATACATCCGAATGAATTAAATCAAATACATTAGATGAAACGGAGGTGCTATGTGAAAAAGGTAAATTAGAATGCTTAGACACTAGACAAGAATTGCAAGGAAGGTTGAGATCATCCTTTTTATTGAAAGAAATAAAATTGCGACGATGAAGATGATGAAGCACATCACGTCCTGGATGTCCAAGGCGAGCATGCCAAAGAGATGCGGATGAAGTGGTAGAGAGGAGAGCCGGATGCAAAGAAGAACCAAGAGCTGAAGATCGGGAAGCAGAAGACGGGAGGATAAGGGGATATATAGGGCTATCATCGGGCATTTGAGAAGCACTCTCCCCGTCACCAAATCCTTAACAACAAAACCCCAATGATGAAATTCAATAAAGCAATGATTATCACGAGTAAATTTCTTAACGGAGAGTAAGTTAGCGAGACAAATAAGGAGAGTGAAGAACGGAATTTAACTGAAAAGATTTATAAGGCGTAGAAAAAGATGAATTACCAGATTGATAGACTGGGATAGTAGAACCATTGCCTAAAGTAATAGAAGTATGAGATGGAGTAACTGAAGATTGAACCTGACCTTGATCATGAGTCATATGGGAGCCAGCACCACTATCCATGTACCAAGTTTTATCACCAGAATCATTGAGAGAAAGGCCCGCAAAGGAGCTGCTAATATCAGAGGCAGCATAGGCATGTTTAGACGATCTGGACAAATCAAAGCAACATGTCCAGAGTTGTTGCAAATCTGGCACTTGACATTGGGAAGAGCAGGGTTTGGAGATGCAAAAGAGGGTTGATTTGATTGTTGAGAAACAAATGGCGGGTAAGGAGCAGAACCCAAAATACCCCGAGAAGCTGGAGAACAAGGCAACATAAAGGAACCATTGCCACGTCCAAAAGGGTGCCAGCCTGCACGACCACGACCACCGCGTCCATGATTTTGCCAACGGCCACCAAAACCACGACCACGAGCAGATCGACCACCACGAGAAGAAGGTAAGTAGTCCTTGGTGGCAACAAATGCCGTGGAGGATGAAGAAGAAACAGGAACACCATGAAGTTGTTCAATACGGGACTCCTGAGTAAGTAGCATAGTCCAGAGTTCCTTAAAGGTGGGTGGAGGTTTCTGATTAGAAGCCATAGTGATGAAAGCTTCATAAGAAGGTGGAAGACCTTGAAGAACAGAGAGGACCAATTCAGGATCAGAGATGGAACGACCAATAGCCGTAAGAGAATCAGAGGTTTCTTGAATTTTGGTCATGAATTTATCAATTGATAGATCACCCTTTTTGAGGGTTTGAAGTTGCAGTTTAAGCTGCAATTCACGAGCAGTGGTTTGTTGGAGAAAGTGAGATTTTAAGGTGTTCCAAGCCTCAGCAGCAAAAGAGGCATCATACAAAAGAGGCAAGAGATCAGTGGCTATAGTAGCATTGATCCAAGTGAGAATCAAGCGATCAAGATGGCGCCAATGATTATAAGCAGGGTTGGGAACAAGTTTATCGGAAGAATCTGGGATGGTAGTGGAGGGAATAGGAATAGAAGTATCAAGATGAGGATGGAGATCATAAATTTCCAAGACAGGAAGAAAGAGATGGCTCCACTTCATATAATTAGTTTGATCTAAAGTGACAGGAACAAGATCTTTAATATGAACACCAAAGGGATTGTGGGGAGGGGAAATAGATGTGGAAGCGGCCATTTCTGCTGATACCATGAAAGAATCAAACAGGCTTAATTGATTTGATTAGCCTGGTGTACTTTGAATATATAGAGTTGAAGTTTTACATAATAAGTACAATGAGGATAGAACTCTTAAAGAGATAAATGCACAAGAATTTCAAAAAACACTTATCACTAAAAACTGACTTTACAATTTCAAATATTATATCTAACACGAACAACACACCTGATTCAGAATCATCCCTGCTACCACAACATCCTTTTCCTTTCCACCATAACGAAAAGAAAAAGCCGGTGGGCCCTCGTCTTCATAGGGCTCGTCGGGGCAATCGGTCCAGACACGTTTCAAGACTGCTCGCATTTGATCTTCCCAAATTGATTCAACATTCACGACTTCAGCTCTCTATCCCTGCTTCAGTAATTAGAGTAGATACACTTCAAAACCTCTCCTTTGGGAATCCAACTTGGTAGTTTTAAAACAAAAACAAAAACAATACAAAGACGAGACAAAACTTACCTCAAGCGTGCGGGCACAATAGAAAGGGTGCATCTTTACAAAATCACCCGGGATTACACCTGGCGGTAGAGGTGGCGGAGGACCACTGGGCACCTCATCATCATCGTCGTCGTCGTCTTCATCAAAATAAATTGGCTGGCCATCAGCAGCTGTCGGGGGATTAGGAAGATGTCGATACCAATAGGAAGAATCTTGGTTGGCCTTCGAAGATTGATCATCAGTTTTGACGGACTCTTCAGGATTCATGATTATCACTTTTGGCTGTTCGACGTTGCAGATCGGGGCAGGGGAACACAATGAATTAGACAAAAGGAGATTATCAACTCGTGATCTACTTATATACAGATACTGGAGATAGAGGATGGTTTAGGGCTTCTTCGGTTTCGCCCCAGAGAAGCGGCCAACCCAACGGGCCTACGCCCAATAACCAGCTGGAGGAGTTTAGAAATCCGAAGTGAGGTCTTGTCAGCTACCGGAGGTTGATGACTTAAATCAAGGGATTAATCGGAAAATTGGACGGCAGAAATGGAGATTAGGTTCTGGAATTTGGGAACGACGCCCCGAAGGGGAAAACAACAATTCTTCAATTCAATACATATCTATTTCTTAGGCTCTGTTTGGTTGGATTGAATTGGACCCAAGAATTGGAATTGGAGGCCCTCAATTCCAATTATTGTGTTTATTGAAAAATAGAGTTAGAATTAGAATTATAATTCAAGATGAGGTTCAATTCTTTATTTTCAATTCTTTTATGAGCGAAATAATTGCAATTCGAACTCTGCGCTTTAGAAAACGCGGTCATATACGGGTCGTTTTCCGGGTTATAACAAAACGGTCCTTTTAAGTTTGAGGTTTTTTTTTTTTTTTTTTTTTTTTGTGTAGCGCTGCACATGCGTTTTTTTGCCTTTTCATTTTCGTTTTTCCCCTTTTTCTTTTAGCGTTGCGTTGGGCTTTTTTTTTTTTTTTTTTCCTTTTTTGCATTTTGTTAAATTAACATATGTTTTTATTTATGGTGCAAACGAGGTGTAAATCATATTAATAATTATTAATGAGATCTATATATTAAAATTAGTATTCTTTTAACAAAACTATCAAATGTATAACGACACTGTAATTTATTTTAAAAATGGATGGTATTAACTATTGGTTAACATTTTTTATCAAATGTATTTTGAACTATACTTGAAATTTTTTCACTAAAATTATGTAAGCTTTCAAGAAGTCGAAATATATATTATTCCATATGTAATTATATACTAAAAATAAAAAATAATTAATTAGCACCATGTATTAATGTTAATTTATACATAAATGAATGGTCTTTACTTTTAACTATGTAAAATTTTACACTAAAATCCAAAAAAAAACTAAAGATTAAAAATTTATAAATAATAAAAGGAGAGGAACAAGGATGTTCTACATGTTACTTGTGAGAATTCGATCATCACATTCATACTTACGTAATAATAAAAAAAGCTTTTCCACAAATATGTATGTATCTATAAATTATAAAATTGATATATATTACTCAAACAACAAAAGTTCTAATATAAATGTATATGATAAATTTATTTTTGTTATCTTATATATGTAAGTAATAAATTGTTTTGATATATAAAATTAAGTATTTATTTTATTCAATGAAATAAAATACTTAATTGTAGGTAGATAATAAAAAACTAATTCTAATTCTAGATTTTATAAATTTATAAGGATCCAAACACAAGAATTAGTATTAGAGCCTTAATTCTAGTCAATTCTTACGATTTTCCAAACGAAAAAATTAAGATTGAATTGCAATATTAATATCTCATTTTCAATTCAATAGTATTATAATTCTAATTCAATTACAATTCAATCTAACCAAACGGAGCCTTAATGATTTTCAGATTCTTCAAAGACTACGCTGCACAATTTCTGAAGGGCTTCCTCCCTGTAAAGTCAAAGATGGTATAAGGTTAAACTGAGCAGTTATGCCCATTTAATATATTTCAAATATAAAAGTAGCTACAAAAACCGTTATTCATAAGTCACTGCACTTATGAATAGTGTATATAATAAGTTATTCAGTTAATTTTAACAGTTACTCTCATATTTTTCATTAGAACTAGGGATATTGAATGTCCAATGCAAAAGGTACTATTTATCTTCCTTATTTTTTAGGTTATTCTAGTTAAGATTATTAACATTTTGCTCCTAAGTTTTATTTTATTTAAAAAAGTTAATTTGGCATTTTTAAATTTTTGGTATCCTCAAATTACATTGTTTTTGTAATATTTTTTATTTTATTTTCAAATATTTTTATTAATGTCTATGTTTATAAGAATTTAATTTAAGTTTTTCTTTTGCATCGTGATATTTTTTTAAAAAAATATTATAATGTATACTTGGATTATCAAATAATTTTAATCAAATTAAAATAATATCGCTATTCTATGATTATAATTTATACACAATGCAAAAAAAAATATTTTATAAATTAAATTTAAAAAACAACTATAAGTTGGTGGCTATTTCGTAAATCTGAAACATTTACTAGTGGGAATATTTTGTAAAACTTCAATTTTAGTGTGTACATTTGGGAACTTTTCCATTAGGAACAATTCTTTTAAGAAACATAATTTGGAATTAGAAAATAATATATATATATATATTGAAAATAAAATAAAAATACAATTCTTATACGTAGACATTAATTCTTAAAGGATTTCTTAAAGGAATATATATTGAAAATAAAAGAAAAATAAAAATATTACAAAAACAATGTAATTAGAGAAAAATAAAAATAAAAAAGAAATGTCAAAAAAGAAATTCATAAAGGAATATATATTGAAAGTAAAAGAAAAATAAAAATATAACAAAAAAATGTAATTAGAAAATAACAAAAATAAAAAAGAGATTTGAAATTAATTTTTTTATACAATAAAATATTTTAGGAGAAAAATGTTAATAATCCTAACTAGAAGACCACGAAAATAAAGATGATAAATTGTAATTTTTGCGTTGGACCTTGAAAAATACCCTTAAATCTAACGGAGAATTTGAGACTAACAGTCAAAGTTTACGAAATGAATAATTAAATTTTATAGTAACCAAATTACGTACTTTTGAATAGTTTAGTGACCTCATAGAGAACAATAAGCAAGTATGAGTAAAACAAGATGTTTGGCACATAAGTATACGTATAAAATCAGAGACAAAATTGTAACAAGGTTTGAATTATGATTTTGCCTCTTTGGATGAACAGGGAATGCTAGTAGGAAGTACCCTCTTAGAGAGGGTTATACTTAGTTTGTGAGAAGACGAGAAAGATTTGATGGATTTAAACATTAACAAGGATTATGATCGGGTTTCATGGAAATTCCGCAATGAGATTCTGGGTGTGCGTGATTACCTGTAATGCCTTTACAAGTGTATCCTAACTTTAATAATATCAGACACAGCTTGAGTTCAAAATCTTATGTAACTAGATTCTGCCAAAAAAACAAAAAACTAAAAGAAAAAAGATTTCATAGAGAACCAAATACTTAAACTTGCGGCGGTAAGAATCGAAAAAGCGAAGACATTAATGATCCCATATCCTCCTTGCCCGATATTTTGCAACAATAAGACATTTTAATTTCTCCTCAAAAGTGTTTATTGTTATAAATATCTAATAATGTGAATATCTATAAAGTAGAAGAATTATACAAGGAATCAGCTGTATAGAGATAATATTTAGTTATATCTTAACATTTAGATCTTATCAGTGTTTGCTCTTATCCTCTCTATAAAAGGAGATCAATCTCCGCAGATTAATATACATATTAATTCTCTCTTTCTCTCTTAACTTGTTCTCTCCCTATTAGTTCTTTCTCTACAATTCTATGTCTTTATTCTTTGAGTTTATTTTATAACACATTATCAGCACGACTCTCTATCCAACTGAGAAGGTTTTGATCCATAGATTAGAGAGTGCGGTAAGTTTTTCTTGTTTTGTCTTTTTATGAAAATATCTTACAAAATAAGAGTTTATTATTTATCATGAATATTATATGGTGTAACATCAAATTTATTTCTAGAATAATTATTTTGTAATATTGGATACAATCAAGTGCTTCTGAAGCAACGATTTCTATTATAAATTTTTCGTATATTCAATTTCTTCCGTCAATAGCAATTTCATGAAATGATTTAAAGAAATTTTTTTTCTCTTCCTAGAGCAAGTGGATTTTGATATAATAGAGTATGATGTTCTTATAATTTGACCACTTTGAAGTGGTAGATATGAATAAAAATAGACAATATAAAAATTATATCGATATAACAAAAAACTAATGATTGAGCCTGTCAATCAAGATAAATTATGAGAATATCATGAACCACTAGAAGTTAAAAATTAGTGATGAAAGAAAATGACTATTTTTTCAAGCATTTTCAATAATTGGATGAATTTACATTCATGAGATTTTGGATTCATAGGTATAACATTGAATTGCTCCTGGAGTAGAATTTTATTTGGGGGGAGAGGGGGTTTAAATTTACTAACATGGTTTTGTTAAAGGATATCATGAGACCCCTTGATTTGAGAATTTTTCACTTCTTGAAGTAAGTGGAGAATTATTTTTGCAAGTCAAGTTGCACTTAGTGAATCTACTATAACAATATGATGATCACATAAAAAAATATGATTTTTCACCTGAAGTAGAAGATTAGTGACAAGAAAAAGTTTAGAATTGCTCAGCAATTTATTTTTTACAAGACCCCTTGATTTGAGAATTTATCACTTTTTGAAGCAAGCTGATAATTACTTTTGCGAGTCAGGTTGCAGTTAGTGAATCTACTATAACAATATGATGATCATATATAAAATATAATTTTTCACCCGAAGTAGAAGACTAGTGACAAGAAAAATTTTAGAATTGCTTAGCAATTTATTTTTCACAAGACCCCTTGATTTGAGAATTTTTCACTTCTTGAAGTAAGTGGAGAATTACTTTTATGAGTCAAGTTGTAGTTAGTGAATCTACTATAACAATATGATGATCACATGTAAAGTATGATTTTTCACCCGAAGTAGAAGATTAGTGACAAGAAAAATTTTGGAATTGCTCAGCATTTATTTTTTTTGTTACTATTGAACAAACTATTGAGATTCTTGTTGAACAAATTATTAGACTTGTCCTATTGTTGGATTATTGCATTTCTTGAAGCAAATGGAATTACTCAAAATGCTATTAATCATCCAAAGTGATAAACTTTTATGGAAAGAATGTAAACCAATAAGACTTGGGAAGTTGAAGAAAGCAAAAAAGTAAAAGATAGCAAGTGTTCCTGTTAAGATATAAAAGACAATTAATCTCGCCTACTCCATGTCAATTTGGGAGAATTTACTATACCCCGAATTCTGAGCTTTAAGTTACTCCTCCCAAGCGACGTGTCAGATCCAGGGAATCCTAATTATATTCACTGGAATGACAGTTTCTCATTTAGAATCAGTAAAATTAGTAATTCTATCAAATCACACATCACAATAGATTAAGCCTTCTAATTCTTTAAGGGATTCATCTAAAAGATTCCTAATATAACTAGGAAGATGTTTTAAATACCATACATGGGTTACTGGGCATGCGAGTTTGATGTA